GTGCAAAGCACCCTGTTCAAGTTTGCTGATGACACTAAGATGTGGGGGAGGAATGCAGGGGTAGCACCAGGTGGGCTCTGGGACACTGAGGGGGTGGGGGAGAAGACACATTGATCAGGCCAGTAATACATCAGGATGCTGGGTGGACCCCTGGGGGCTGAGTGGGTCCTGGAGCCCCACCCCCATACCTGGTTGAGTTTGATCAGTGTGTTCTCAAAATCCTTCATGTCCCTTTGCAGGGTCTGGGCCACCCGCTCCCAGTCCTGGATTTCACAGCCGTCCTTCAGGTCCCGCAGCTTCCCTCGCACCCAGCTCTCTGCCTGCCAAACAGGGAGGAGGTCTCAGCTCCTAAGGCCATGGCCCCCTCACCTGGGAAAATAGGCCTGACACCACCCCCTTCACAAGCTGGGGTAGCAGCAGGGCAAATGGGCTAGCAGGGTAGATCCATGGATTAGGGGTTGGATACTGGACTAGAGGGGCCTGCTGCCATGACAGGGTGCAGTGAAGCAGTGTTGGTGACAGAAAGATGGGACCCACCCTGGGCAGGATGTCCTACATCTCCCTGGTTTCAGAACAAACTAATAAGGATACTGCAGCCCTTGGGGAGGAGGAGGAGGAAGTGGTAAAGTTGGGAATATCTGTGTAGGTCCCCAGGCTGCTGTCTCTGGGGAGCAACCTGCCACAGCTCCCTGCAGGCCACCAGGAGAGGACACGGCCTCCCTGAGAAGGGCAGGCCTAGCCAGGAGTCTCTGCCCTCCATGTGTTGCATTTGTTTTCTTTTCCTTTCCTGGTCCCTGGTGCTCCCCCACCCCCAAATTCTTCTGAAGAGGCAGAGGTGCCCTTCATTTGTGCCCTCCTTTCCCGTGCCACCTCTGCTGCTGCGTGGGGAGAGGAAGCCGGGCCCCTGTGTGGGCTGACCCACTCTCCCTGGGGCTGACAGCTTGGAGAAAGGCAGCCAAATATGATCTCATGCTGCAACAATGGCTTCGCTCTGGGCTGAGAGTTCACCCCCCTCCCACTGCTCACATGAAAGGCTTCTGGCCACAGGCACACCCCCCT